TAGCTGACAGCCATCAGCTAAGACAGATCAAATAGCAGTGAAGATGCAATAATTTGAGTGTTTAGCTTAGTTCTGGCCCACAGAAGCCCAGGGATGGGCTGGGAACCTGGCTTCAGTTCAGCCTGCTTTGTCTTCACTGCTGGGATAAACCAAACTTGCTCCTTCAAGTTAAGCAACTCGTCTTTATCAGAGATGTGGGTTATTTTTCTGCTATGTAGAAATACCCCAGGAGGTTGCTGAAAGGTCCCAGGCAGTGGTTTGCAAGCATGGGGCCCCTCTTAAAACATCCCTTATTCTGGGAGCACAGAGCCCGGTAGGAGTCACTTCTGAGTCACTCGAGTGCGATGGAAAATCCCTTTTTTCCCCATTCTCAGCCGAGCTTCAAAAAACATGTTTCTTGCAGATGTGCTGAGCATTGCAGCTGTGTGAAGTCAGGCACACGAGCCTGGCCAGTGGTTCAGAGCATAATATTAGGAAAGCAATCTGAGATACCTCCATCTGCAAAGCACCACCCACAGGGATGCGGATTCAGCTTGCAACACGCTTATCTAAAAGGAAGCCCAAACTACTCTCACATTCCTGTCCCTTCTCTTCTTAAATGAAAGTTTTCCCATAGTGGCACCTTACACATAATCTCGTGGGTGTATTTTGTCAGAGGAGCCACTGATCCAAAGCACGTGGAAAAGGGCTTGTTCTCTAAATTATAGGATTTTTAAATTCTAAGTAATAACTGAGGCAGAGTTCTTCAAAAGTAAGATCAGTGTTTGCAGTTAAATTGGGTTGCTGTCCTGTCTCATGCTAGGTTTTGTGGGAATGGCTTAAAAAATGCCACAATCATCCAACAGTCCAAGTCTGGCTGACTTTCCCCACCGTCTTGGTAGCAGCAGTCAAGGTGAAAGTCTGAGACAGTGAAAATTACTCTGGAAAAAACTGCCCGAAGGCGTGTCCACACTGCTCCTGGGGGTATTTCAGCATCTCCACTATGTGTGGGCTTCTCTGCCAAAAGACAGACATTTGGTAAACTGAAAACTGCAGTCGGGTTTCAGCCCAGCACATGGGGAATGAGGCAATCGGGAGCAGGAGCCCAAAGGCACACCAGTGCCCAAAATCTGCTTTCTCCTTTCTGATGGAATTTATCCCTTTAGCCTTCCACCATGTCTTTTTATTTTTGTGAACGTCCCATTAAAAAAGAAAATTGCAGCTTTTTAATACCTCAATGATAGTGATATGACGCTGTGTTTTCCTTCCTCTCTCTGTTTGGAACGTGTCCAATAAAACTGGATTGTAATTTATTTATTCCTACATCTTTTTACTCTAAAGCAGAACCAGTAGCAGGAAATATTTCCCACCTTCAGCAGAGTGAGCTGGAGGAGGCTTTTCCTTTGCTTTGGGGGAGAATTTTCAAAATTCTGATAAAATTATAATGAAAAGCTTGAAATCAGTTGTCCCACAGCAAATTGAAGACTGGAGATCGGAGAAAAGAGGAAGAGGAGGAGGGTGGTGGTTTATCCATTAAGGGACAAAAAAATTAATCACCGCTCATTTCTTAACATGTGATTTGGGTTAATCCAAAAGCCTTTCTTCCATGGAAGGGAGGGTATTGCACAGCTCTGCTAGCTTGGGAAAAAAAACCAAACCAGTATTTAATTTCTGCTTTCTTAAAAAGATGTAGCAAAAACAAGCATATACAGGGCTCTGGGGGAGGATTTTATCAGGATGATCTAGATTGAGGATGGGTTTCAGTGGGCTGGAGCAGAGCAACTCACCAACTGATGCAGGTATTTTGGTCAGCTGTCATTGCAAAAGGAGAAAAAAGGAGAAAAAAACCCCTCAGACAAACACTCACACTTTATTGCATTTCAAAGAGTCAGATGTTTCGCTCTTCCCTGACCTCTCAACATCCCGGTTTTACGTAACTCAGCGCAGCAAATGGGAAAGAGCAAACAAGTACACGCCAGCCCAGCAGGTTTACAGCAGATGCTCGCAACCGCTTCAGCAAAACCTCACTGAAACCCAGATGCACCGAAACACGGGAGCATCAAATCTCCCTTCACCCAGAAAACCAAAGGAGCCGCAGTAAGAAAGACCAAAGTCCGGGGACAAAACCCAACTCCTCGGTCCCTGCTGTCGCAGAGGATGTTGCAGACAGGCCAAAAATTAGTGAAGGTTAAAAATAAACTCTGAGTCACCTCGATTTCTGTACTCGCCTGTGCGAACGCTGAATTACACAGCATGGGTGTGAGGAATTAATACAGCTAATGACAACCTAACCTTAACTAACCTTAAAAGTTTTGAATGTCTTTCTTCCTGCCTGCGCTGAAAAAAAAGCAAATAACAGAGTCCAAAAGCGGTGCTCACAGGCAGCCGAGCTCCTGCAAACTTCTCAGCTGGCCCCGTTCCTCCTCCCTTTGCTCTGCACCCCCAGCCCACCCGCCACCCCCAGCAGTGCCCTCGCCCTCCAGGCAACCCCTCTGCAGCAAATCCTGCCTCCCAACCGACATCCTCCCTGCGGGCAACCTTTCCCTCGGAGGGGGCAAACACAGCCCACCTGCGACCCAGAGCAGCTTCAGGAGGACGGTGCACATGAGCGACAGAAGCCAAGCAAGGAAACCATGTGGGACTGAGAGATACTGCAAGAATTTTCCTTGTTTTGGTGCCTAAACAATCATTTGATTTACTCTTCCAAATCCTTTGTAATATTCCACTTAATTACCATTGTCTGCAGCAACAGGCTTTCCTAGAAGAGCTGGGGAGGTAATGACTGCCTTCAACATGAATCCTTTCTCTTTGCTTTAATTAAAACATTTGCAGCCTGTGATCTGGTTCCCAGGTGTGACTTTGCATAGCTCTTTGGAAGTCAAAGGCAGGCTCCCTGCCTGGCCCCCCATCTGCAGGATCCGGCACACATGTGCCAATTGACATCTGCAGGCTTAGGAAAGCAAATCTCCATACATCTGCCATGCTTGTAACAGAATTTATTTATTTTCAATATCAGCATAACCCCAGTGGTGTTGAGGTTCCCTGCCGCTGTGCATCATCTGTGAAATGGGGGTTCGTTGCTTCTGGATGTGTGAGTGTGGGTGCAGTTTTCCCTGCGAAACTCTGCGTTTCCAGCACCCAGGAGGTTCCCACGTCTCCACTCCCAAGGCGAGAGCACCCCCTTGCTACCGCCCAAAAAAAAAACCGTCCAACGATCGGCTTCCCGATAGCTCACCCGAAGGCGCTGCGGGTGCCGGTGACTCACGCTGTTGGCAATAAGCAGTGACAGGAGTGCTTGCAGGAGATGATAGTTGTGAGCGCTGGCTTTTTCTGATTGCAATGAGAAAAAAAAAAAAATAAAAAAAAAAAAAAAAACACCCCCCCCCCCCCCGCCCCCAAACCCCTCCTTCTGCTCAGGTTCTTTCAAGTTCCCAGACAGAGAAAACGGCAGTTGGAAACACATCAACAGAAACAAGCTATGAGATGCAGCAGATACCCTTAAGCCGCTCATTTTGGATTAAGCTCCTGTACTTATTGCTCACGTAGCCGATTTCGAGAATCTTTGTGATTTAGCTGCTCGGGGTTTCATCTCTCTGCCTTGCGCTATTATTTTATCTGACATATAACATGACCGAGGTGGGCAGCGCTCGTGGCACAAGGATGCGGCTGGGCAGAGTCCGGTTTGCAGAAGCATTTTGGGTGGGAGGGAGGGGATATCTTCTCTTGTAACCTGCGTCCAGCTCTTCATGGACACAAGAGAAGAGGTCCCCGGCTCTCCTGCCTTTACGCCATCCTAAAGCACAACCCAGCCTCACCGGGGGGATTGAAGCTCCTGGCGAGGGTTCACCCGAGAGCCCAAGATCAAGGGGCAAAGGCTACTTTAGAAAAATCTTCTTCAGGTGCTGAATGATCTCAGCAGAGTGAAGGAGGGGGTGGGAGAGAGCTGGAAGAAAAGCGGGTGAATTCCCCTTCACAGAACGTCTTGGAGAGCCAGCAATGACGTGGAAACTGCTGGTTAAATATGGGGGGCGGAAAAAAAGCGATAAAAATACCACTTCACAGAGAGCTTTTGAACCCTGAGCCTGACAAGGAGATTCAAAGAAGAGCAATCATTTCAAACATCTTTTTAATAACTATTTTATAAGTCTCGTAGTACTATTTAATGTAATTTGAAGTTATTTTGGAAAAGGGATTTACTTGCTGCCTTTGAAAGCCATGCTAACTAATTTCTCAGTTTCCCCTGCAATGAGGGGAGACAATTTTTTTGGTAAGATCCCAGAAAGTACTACCACGAGAGAACTTTCACTCAGCTATTCTCTGCAAGCCCATGATCATTTAGATCCCTTTTCTGAAATAAATCAAAAGAGCTGCACTGATAAGTAAAACCACCTTCAGCCCCAGCTTTCCCAAGCCAATAACAGGACATGCACGTCCAGTCCCACAGCTGGCAGCCTCAGAAAAGTCCCTATTTATGCTCCACTTTTTGCTGTGCAATGTGTCAGACCCTAAACTTCACCTTGCAAAGGCTTCAGTGCAAGGAACCTTACTGGGAGTGAGCCCTTGGCTCGTCTAAGGAAAACCAGCTCCCAGGGTCTCGGAGAATCGTGTTGCATCCTGCTCCTGAGCGCAGACCTCAGCGAGTCGTCCCATTCAATTCTAATTTCATGACTCAGAGCGGCAGGCTTTGGTAGAGGGGGGAGCTCCCTCACTCCGTTACTTTCTTGCCTGCAAACAATGCATTTTTCAGCGCCTCGCTGTAGCCTAGGTGTGTTTGACAAGGCAAGTTGCTGCAAGGCACGTCAAGTTCTGAATTCCCGTGCCAAGTTTTCCAAACAGATAAAAGAGGAGGCTCCCAAGCTCTCCCATCACAGGGGTTTCTGTCTCCGTTGCCCTCTGCTCTTTTCCTGCCGCGCAGCTTTTATTCACCAGCCTTTTTTTTTTCCCCTCTCCTGCTCTTTGCATTTCCAATTGAACAAGCCACCATGAGTCGGATCTCTTTCAGATCATCTACTGGAGGGGGCATGAGGGGTTTTAGCTCAGGCTCTGCTATTGTAGGAGGTGGCAGTGGTACCAGAAGCAGTTTTAGCTCCGTCTCTGTCTCCAGAGTTGGAGGAGGAAGAGCCGGAGGTGGAGGAGGCTTCGGAGCTGGTGGTGGCTTCGGCAGCAGAAGTCTCTATAACCTAGGTGGAAGCAAAAGAATTTCCTACAGCTCAGTCGGTGGAGGTCTACGGAGTGGAGCCGGTGGTGGATACGGCTTTTCTGGAGCTGGCTTTGGTCTTGGCTATGGTGGTGGAGCAGGCGCTGGTTTTGGCTTAGGAGGAGCTGGTGGTGGTGGCGGCTATGGGATGGGCAGTGGATTTGGGCTGGGAGGTCCCGGATTTGGTGGTCGAGGTGGCCCCGGGTTCCCTGTTTGCCCACCTGGTGGCATCCACGAAGTGACCGTCAACCAGAGCCTCCTGGCACCCCTCAAGCTGGATATCGACCCGGAAATCCAGAAGGTGCGAACACAGGAGCGGGAGCAGATCAAGACCCTCAACAACAAATTTGCCTCCTTCATCGACAAGGTGAGAGTTTGGTCTTAAACATCAACCCATGCATATTATCAGTTGCCTCGGGAAAGAACAACAGGAAGAAATTTCCTCTGGATTTAAGGGCTTGCCTGAACTAATCCCAGCCGACAAACAGCGTGGGTTTGGCTGAAAACTAAGAACTGCCTTATGTTTCCTCTTTGCGACGATGAGTTTTTCAGCCCCTTATTTTATTGAAAAAGTAAATCCCCCTCCTCCCTGTTAAAAACATCCCGGGGGCTGGATGGATCTTCTACTGGTTGTAAAATGGCAAAGCTCTACACAACTCAGTGGGATAACACCAACTTAAACCAGTAAGGTGGGCCGAGCATCTAGTGGGGGGAGAAACACCTAAAGTTGCAAATATATGTGTTTGGCCTGCTTGATAGCTCTTGAAAAATCTCGCTAAACATCTTAGCTGCTTTTGATACGTTCGAAAATCCGGTGCCCTAAATTAGGAAGATCCTAGTAATTTCCGCCCCACTGTCCCAGCGTCTCTTGACCTTTTCCTTCTGTGTTGAATGATCCCTCCTTTTCCTGGCAGCGGGGTTTTTTGTGCATTGTTCACACGGGCTTCAGCATGTGCCTATTTTTGTTTCTCCCCAGGTGCGCTTTTTGGAGCAGCAGAACAAAGTGCTGGAGACCAAGTGGAGCCTCCTCCAAGAGCAAGGTCACACAGTCACCAGGAAGTCCCTTGAGCCCCTTTTTGAAGCCTACATCAACAACCTCAGACGGCAGCTAGACAGTCTTATGGGAGAGAGGGGAAGGTTGGACTCTGAACTGAGGAACATGCAGGACATGGTGGAAGACTTTAAGAACAAGTAAGAAATCGTGCTCTGTAGCATAGGTGATTAACAGATGGGAAAATCAGGGCAGGCGGTTCATGCTCGCTGGTGCACACCTTGTGTCTGCACGGGGTTCCTCTTCCAGTTTGCAAAATGAACATACAAAAGCAAAACTTGATCTCAGAATTACCTCTAGTTATGTCAGATTTCTTACGTGCAGGATCAGCATTTAGCACAGAATTCATGCACCCGTGGGAAGCTGCTCCGGTGTAACGGCGGTCATGGTCTGATCCCTTGAGTCTCCCAAAATAATACACCTGGAGACAAAAAACCCCACGTAATTCATGAGTATAATGAACATGCAAAAAGGGAGTGAAACATAGCCATAAACTGCCAGCTCCAAAGTCCCCCGTTTCTCTTTTTGCAAAGGAAATCCCAGCCTTTCTAGAGGGCCCCAGGCGACCTGTGTGCGCTCGGCCTCGCTCAGCTCCGATCACGTGAAAGACGCTCAGCTATTTTCTCCAACCATTGTCAAAGAAAACCATTTCCCTGGGGAGGCAATTAATCCCGTCCTGAGATAAGGTGTCCAGCGGAGGTGGGATGAATCATTTTAAGGACATGCCAGTCGGAGTCTGCTGACTATAAGGGACATTGAGGTGGTTTTTTTAGGTGAGGCCATTCATTTTTAGTTGGCTGTAGTCTGGCGAGAACAATCTCTCCCTTATTCAACCAGATCTGGCCAAGTGCAAATCTGAGGAAAACACCCTGGAGGCCTGAAATGTGTTTATATTAGATAGTTAAGCATGTGAAGAGACAGGTTTTTTTTGCGGGGGGGAACGGGGAGACGGCACTTAGAGCTGACAGGGTGGACTGACATAGCTTCTGCTATGTTGCACCTGGGTGCATTTCAGGTCTCGATATGTATTACAGGCTTTTAGAAATACTTATCAGGTCAAAAATGACAAATGACATTGTCTGGATTTTGGAGGTAGTGCCTGGGAAAGAGAACACATTTTATTTCAAGACTAGAGTTGGTTCCCAGTCCACTGGCTAATTTCCACTTCTTCCCATGTCCGCTCAGGGATCCATCTGCAGGGATCTCTCTGCCAATATTTGTTACAGGACTGGCACGAACCTGCCTTTAAAATCCAGGTCTTTGCCTCAACAGCCTACATGTTTTGTCTACTTTCTAGCTAAGCCCTGCCCTGATTATCTGATGAGAGGATGTTGCTCAGAGCCATAAAAAGTTCCACAGAAACATAGTCTGAGGCATAATGATGTGCTCTTGCACAACCACGGCTAAAGAATCACAGACTTTTTTTTTAATTAAATGCTGCAGTGGGTTATTCAGCGCCATTAGCATTATTATAATATCAAATATCAAATTGTTACATTATTATATATTTGTAGGCATTGCAATGCAGCTTCGTTGAAAGCCTTTTGCATAACTTTGCTTTGGGCAAAGGTCACCAAGAATACCTGCTCCTGCTTCCTACCGAAACAGGCTCTGATCCTGCACACGTTTATGTATGAGCTTGACTTCAAGGGCGGTGATTAAAATCTATTAATTTTAGCTGGGACTACTCACACCATGGAGTCTTGCAGGCTCAGAGTCAGTAATCATTTGCTCTGCATCTGCTCTGGACTGTAAACAGGTGGGAGTAAGGAATATATCTGTGAGCCACAACTAATGATTTGGGACTGGAGTGGTCCCATCTCTGCTTCCCATGCTGGCTTTGCTCTTCATTTCAACCAAAACCCTCTCACTCTTTTATCCTAACAGATATGAAGATGAGATCAACCGGCGCACTGGTGCAGAGAATGAGTTCGTGGTCCTCAAGAAGGTGAGCGAACTGGGAGCTATGGGACAGACGAAGTAACTCAGCATGCACAGAGTTCAAGCAAAGCTGATGGGAGCTGGGGTCCTCCAACCTCATGGCTGGGTCAGGCTGGGTCCTCCCGAAGCCACGAATGGGCATAACCTTCTCCGCGCTGACGGAGCTGCCCTGTTTTCTGAAGATAGCTCCTCCGGTTGCAGTTGCAAACCATCTGGCCTCTTGTCTCAGTTCAGCTCTGTCTTGGGTCACACCCCCAGGAGTCAGAGCTTTGCCTTCTGCCCAGGAACCTGGTTCTGGCTCACCGTAAATGTCCAACATTACATTAAAAAAAAAACCAACCTTGATCATAGCAAATAAAAACAAGCCTAAAGAATAACAGACCTGGAAGCAGAAAGATGGTCCCACTGGTGTCCTGAAGCCCCTTTGGCTTGCGGTTTCATCAGAAGTCTTTGGTTTTCTTTTCTTTAGGATGTGGATGGTGCTTATATGAACAAGGTCGAGCTGCAGGCCAAAGCAGATGCACTGGCAGATGAAATTAACTTCCTGAGAGCTCTCTACGAAGCGGTAAGCAGTCAGCCCTCCCCTCGATACCATCCTCCACAGCTCCCTGCCGAACAGCTCTCCATGCCCCGGAGCTCCGGCCACCATTCTCAACAGCAGTAAAAGAGAAGGTGGTCACTGCCTTTTTGAAATTATAATGCTGGCATAAGATAGAAAAGGGTAAATAGTTAGAGACAGAGCAGGGGGAAATGCAAGAAAATGGCTCGGTGGAGAGGGCTCCCAAGCCACCCTCTTGTCTGCATGGTTTCCACCCTAGATACTAGATCATTAACTTAATTTTTTGCATCTTCTGCAGGAATTGTCCCAGATGCAGCAGCAAGTATCCGACACCTCCGTGGTCCTGTCCATGGACAACAACCGTAACTTGGACCTCAACAGCATCATTGCAGAGGTCAAAGCGCAGTACGAGGACATCGCCAACCGGAGCCGGGCTGAGGCTGAGGCTTGGTACCAAAACAAGGTGGGTAGCCAGAATGACAGACTGATTTCTGTGATTCACGTGGCATCACACCAGCTGACGGGAGGCAGAGGAAGGATCACAGCGTTACACCAGATTGATTTATTTTCTATGCGTGTTGCAATAGGCTCTTGCGTACAGATCCCCACTGTTTGCTTGTGGACCGCAACTCTTGACCAGCCTTATATTCCTTGCGGCGAAACCAAGGGACAAGATGCTTAAACGCCTTGACCCTGGGCTCACAAGGAGTGACACTGAGCACTCCTCTTTACCTTCCAGTTTCTTAAAAAAAAAAAGGTTCTTAACAGTAGGTGACAACCCACAGGTGCTCTATGTAATGCAATAGCTGCTGCCTTAGCATATATTGATAACTAAGGGCAAATGCTGTTATTCCACAGGCAGGTTGCTCAGAGGAATGTTGTCCCCCACCCTTAACCTGCATCCAGACCTGCACTTTGTGCCCTGAAGTCCCCTCACCCTTCCCTGAGCCCTGTGGTGCCTAACCAGCGCTCTCCTCCTTCCTACATATCAGTACGAGGAACTCCAGGTCCGGTGCTCTCCTCCTTTCTACATATCAGTACGAGGAACTCCAGGTCTCCGCCGGGCGGCACGGTGACGATCTGCGTAACACCAAGATAGAAATTTCGGAGATCAACCGGATGGTCCAGAGGCTGCGGAACGAGATCGAGAGCGTGAAGAAACAGGTAGGAGGGAATGGTCCTGCAGAGCAGCTGCTGCATGGTGGAGGGCAGGTAGGAGGTGATGGTGGCCAAGCACGGTGAAAAGAGCCAGCTCCTGGCATTGGAGCAGGGCTGGAAGGCCAGGCTTCCTCCCCTGCGTTAAAGAGGGCATGGCCACCTCTGTCTTTGCCCACCAGAGAAGGTCCCTCAGTGCAAGGATGTGCTGTGATAGCCGCTTTCTTGCTGGGGAAGCAAGTTGTGAGCTACTAAGCCACCCCAGCAGAAGTGTGTAGCAAAGCAAAGAGATGTAGATGTCTTTCCTTTTCTCGGGGGACAGGATTATGGCTGCAGCTCCCCAGTTACCCACCCTACGGCACCTTCCCAACGGCCCATCAGCAGCTCTCAGTGCCATGCTGGGAGCCACCAGCCAGTATCTACAATACCATAGCAATACTCAGGAGAGCAGTTTGGGGTAGCCCAAGTTAAACAACTATCTGTTTCCCTTGCTTTTAGTGTGCCAACCTCCAAGCAGCCATCGCCGAGGCGGAGGAGCGCGGGGAGCTGGCCCTCAAGGACGCCAAGGCCAAACTCTCCGAGCTGGAAGATGCCCTGCAGAAAGCTAAAGCTGACCTGGCCCGGCAGCTCCGCGAGTACCAGGAGCTCATGAACGTCAAGCTGGCCCTGGACATCGAGATTGCGACCTACAGGAAGCTGCTGGAGGGAGAGGAGAGCAGGTGAGGACAAGCAGATGGACCTGTTGTGTGCTGCTCTTCAGAGCAGGGTGCATCTCCTTGGCCTCAAAGAGACAGCTCACCCCAACGGGCTGGAGCACCAAGTTGGTGAAGATGTAAAGAGCACCAAGATGTAAAACAAGGGCAGAGAGAGGGATACTTTAAATTGTGAGCTTTCTCGGAAAAGATGAGTTTCTCTAGCTCTTGGAACCTGATGCACTAAGAAAAATGAGCAGTATCACCTTTCACCTGTGATGCAGACATACCCCACCAGAGGATAGTCCCTACTGAAGGCCACGAAAGTCTAATTAGATGGTCCCACTGGCTAATGTTATACCTTATCTGTGCTTTGGCATTATTGCTCACTTTCCCTTTTCCCAACAGGCTCGCTGGAGAGGGCGTCGGAGCCGTGAGCGTCTGTAAGTATCTGTCTCCCTTCCTTCCCCCGCCGCGGGGGCGGTGGTGCGGGTGCCCCCCCCTCCGGCAGCCGGCAGGACCCTAAAGCGGGTGTGCGCTGTGTCTCCCTGCAGCCGTGGTCAGCAGCTCGAGCGGGATGGGCTACGGCGGCGGCGGCAGCTGCCTGGGCGGAGGTCTCGGCATGGGAGGCAGCGGC